CCTGCCTGCCTGGGGCCAGGGAGGGCCTTCGCGGGGCTTCCTCGCACTCCCGCTGGCCAGGACCGTTGGGGGTGGGGGGTGTGGCCTTATGACACACTTCCGGTGATGTCAGGGGGTGTGGCCTTATGACACACTTCCGGTGATGTCAGGGGGTGTGGCCTTATGACACACTTCCGGTGATGTCAGGGGGTGTGGCATATGCTAATCAGTTATGCTAATGAGTTCCCCTAGCTCTTTTTCTACGAAATGACCCCTGATTGGTATGAATGCTTATTGTTGGTATTCTGCACAGTTTGGTTGTCTATTGTTATCCAGCCTACTTTGGCATATTTGACTATTTTAATTGTGTGCTTTTAAAAAAAAATCTCATTGACTTCTATGTTGTTCTGCATTTTGGGGGCTTATTGTTGCATTGTTGCCCACAAGGCAGGATTTAAGTATTTTAAATAAATAACTAAAAATGCCTCTCCGTTTCATAGATGACACGAGGTTCTGAAGTTTAAAGTGCCATTTCAGATTCTAACCTGAACAAAAAGAGAGCCATGCCTTAGAGGATGGATTTCTTGTGCCAGAAAACTGCTAGTTAAAGAAGTCAACTTCCTCTTTTTTTTCTTTTTTTTTGCAGATTCCAGACTGGCTCTGTGTCTCTGTGGGTCTCGGGCACAGAAATAGACGGCCGTGTCTGCAGCTGTCAAGGAGCTTAACCGGAGAGTATACTCATTCTTGGAGGTGTCAGGAGAGATGGAGAGCCTGCTCTGGAAGGCGGAGGCATAATTAGTGTGCCAGGTAGAGCTGTAGTATCTCCTTCCGATCCATTCCAGCCCTTTGTTAGGTGGCTGGCGGATCCAACTGGTAGCAGCTCCATCAGTGATGGAGGTACCGGAGACTGTGCAGGTCAATCTTAAGGACTCTCCAGGTATGACTGTTCCTATGCCAGACTGTGTCAGCTTAATTTCTGAGAGGACCCCTGGTAGGGAAAAAAAATCATTTCAGAAAAAAATTGAGCAAAGTTATCAAATGGCACAGTACATGTATGGCTTTTGGAGATATTTTCAAGTTGTATTTGTATTGTCCAAATTTGCCTGAAGTTGCTGGTTTTTTCACCCCTTAAGAGATATGGGTTATAGAGAAGAAGTTCCATTGTTGGTAAAACTGTTTCATGGTTTAACATCTGAAATTCTGTGACAGGTCTCTAAACATCAAAATGGAAGCAGACAGAATTTTCTCCCACCCCGTCCATTTTTCATTCAAAGAAAAGCAATCCCTGTTAGGAACACATACTCTGCTTAAGCACTGAAAAGATGCAAAGACTTAGGATTAAGGTCTCCATTATGCTTTTCAAGATGGCTCCTACCATTCCTGAGAGGTCTATTTAAGCTGGGACTGAAGAATAACCTGTTTTGCATATTCTGCTCCTGCTTCATGTTTAGCTATAAGGAGGACTGTGGAGCATGCCTCTCATTCACTCTAGTCTGTTTTTTATATTTACCTTTCACTTGATCTGTTTACTGAGCAATTCCATCATAGAATCAGAGAGTTGGAAGAGACCTCCAGGGTCACCTAGTCCAACCACCTGCACAATGTAGGAAATTCACAAATACCTCCCCCCACACCACCAGTGACCGCTGTTCCATGCTCAGAAGATTACAAAAAAACCTCAGGATCTCCAGCCAAACTAGCTTGGAGAAAAATTGCTTCCTGACCCCAAAGTGGCAATCAGCATTTCCCTAGGTGTGTGAGAAAGGGCCACAAGAACTAAACACTGATACGACTCTTCCTGCCCTCCCTTTCATGAACTGCCTAAGTTCACAGAATCAGCATTGTTGTCTGATAGCCATATGGCCTCTGTCTACAAACCTCCAAAGAAGGAGAGCCCACCACCTCCTGAGGAAATCTGTTCCACTGAGGGGCCACTCTAATTGTCAGGAAATTTTTCCTAATGTTTAGCCAAAAACTCTTCTGATTAAATTTCAACCCATTGGTTCTGGTCCGACCTTCTGAGGCACCAAAAAAACAACAAACCACAAACAACTCCACACCATCCTCTATATGACAGCCTTTCAAGTAGTTGAAGATGGTTATCATATCACCTCTCAGTCATCTCCTCTCCAGGCTAAACATACCCAGCTCCTTCAATCTTTCCTCATAGGACTTGGTCTCCAGAACCCTCACCATCTTCATTGCTCTCATCTGAACACGTGCCAGCTTGTCTATATCCTTCTTAAATTGTGGTGACTAAAACTGAACACAGTGTTCTAAGTGAGGTCCAACCAGAGGAGAATAAAGCAATAACATTACTTCATGTGATCTGGACACTATACTTCTGTTGATATAGCTCAAAATCGCATTTGCCTTTTTAACTACCACATCACACTGCCTCCTCATGTTCAGTGTATGGTCTACTAAGACCCCTAGATCCTTTTAGCACACACTACTGCCTAGACAAGTCTCCCCCATCCTATAATTATGCATTTGATTTTTGCTACCTAAATGCAGAACTTCACATTTATCTCCATTAAAATTCATTTTATTTGTTTTAGCCCAGTTTTCCGGCCTGTCAAGATCATCCTGTATCCTGACTCAGTCTTCTACCATATTTGCTACCCCTTCCAATTTAGTATCATCTGCAAATTTAAGAAGCATTCCCTCCATTCCATCATCCAAATCATTTATAAAGATGTCTAACAAAACAGGTCCAGGGCAGATCCTTGAGGTACTCCACTTGTCACTCCTCTCCAAGAGGATGAGGAACCATTCACAAGCACTCTTTGGGTGTCATCTGTTAACCAGTTACAGATCCACCTAACAGTCATAAGGATCCAAACCACATTTTACCAATTTGTCAACAGGAATATTATGTGGAACCTTATCAAAAGCCTTACTGAAATCAAGATAAACTATGCCTACTGCATTCCTCTGATCCAGCAAGGTAGTAACTTTCTCAAAAAAAGAGGAATAAGGTTAATCTGACATGACTTGTTCTTGAGAAACCTCTTAGTAATCACAGCTGTCCTTTCTCAAGGACTGTCTGTTCGATGATTTGTTCTAAAACTTTCCCAGGTATAGACGGCAAGTCAGTAGTTATCCAGATCCTCCTTTTGCCCCTTCTTGAAGATGGGGACAATTTGCCTGCCTACAGTCTTCTGGCACCTCACTTGCTCTCCAAGAATTCTCAAAAATAATGGACGGAGGCTCAGAATTTACATCCGTGAGTTCTTTTGGATGCAGTTCATCTGGCCCCGATGACTTAGTTTCATTTAAAGAAACTAGGTGTTTATTTACAACCCCTATGCCAATCCTAGGCTGAAACTCATCATGTGTTCCCTCATCATGTGTTCTGTTTTTGCCATGGTGAGCACCGTTTCCCTCTCAAGAGAAGTCTGTGAAACATTAGAGAAATAAAGCGGTTCTGCAGGTGAAATACAATCCAGTGTCCCCTGATGCTTATTGCTTTGAAGAACTGGAACATACGTTTAAGATCAAATTATCTGGAAGGAGTTGCCAATGTCCTTGTGGAAAATGGAATTTGACTGAATCCCTCTTTGAAAGGGCTGTGCCTGATTGCTAGACAATCAGGGAACTATGAACTAGGAAACCAGGAAGCACCTTCTGGGCAGTCAGGCATCAACTGGGGGTCACACCACTATACCTATCATGTGGAGCCCCATTCAAGACTTTTGCCCAGGATCCCACTTCTGGCTCCCTTCCCTCTCTGTAAGGACAAGGACCCCTTGACATGGTTTTGGATCCTGTGAGAGGACGTGGCTAAAGCACGTAATAAGGGGAAAGATCCCACACTGCACTCTCAGCTCTCTCTCTGTACTCTACAACCAAATGAACCTAATCTTCAAAAGCTTTGTCTGATAGGAGAAAAAAGGAGAGAGCCATTTCCTCACATAACTCAAAACAGCCAAGTCACTGGGCCAATGGAGAAATGATTAAAGATATCCCAGCAGTATGAAATCGAGGAGGCTTCTTGAACGGAATTACTGCACAGCTGTGTGAAACTGCTCCCCCTGCTGGTTAATGTAAGTAAATGGTCAACATGAGTTCCAGTTTCCACAAGGGAAATGTGAGGTTCCTTTCTACTCTGTCAAGGGTTTACGTTTCTGTGCTGCGAATATTTTCCAATTCCTGAAGTCAACATACAGAAATGACATCCGTACTTCATACTCAGAGTGTTATGCTTTTGAAATCCATTGTCCTTTCCTTTCCCTTTATTCAAGCAGCTATTTGTGTGATGTGGTAAAAAGGTTCTTCCGCTTTTTGCAGATTTTGACATGCAGTGAAATTATGGAATGAATTATAGCCAAAGGTAATGACGCATCTCACACCATGTTTTAGACTGCCCTGGGTTTTACAGGAATCTTGGCTATCCACAGTTTGACATTGGCTCTCGTAGCCAGGAAACTGAGATATCTACTCCAGAAGGTGGGTATATCTGGAGTAGATCTAAATTTACTGCCTACCATTTTCTTCTCACCTTGACAAGGAGAGTATTCCATCTTTCTGTGTTTATACCTCTGAGGATGCCAGTCACAGTTACTGGTGAAACATCAGGTTTGACATGAAGGGAAATGATGGAAAATATTATAGTCAAAGCATCTGACACCATGTTTTACATGGGACTTTGGGCTGTCCTCAGTTTGACGTTGGCTTCCATAGCCAGGAAATAGCAAGACAGTTTAAGCATGCTGTTTATTTGTGGTATCTGGTTGTCAAGTGTTACATCCTTCCTGAGCAGATTTAACTGTTTTTGATGTGTGCTTTTAAAAAATCTATCATTGATTTTTATAAACTTTTGTGTCCTTGTGAGTCATTCTTTTGCTATTAGCCACCTTCAATTCAAGGGCGTAAGGAAGGATCTAACTATTTCAGATCAATGAGAAAAAATGAGTCCCTGTTTCATATACATTATTTTGTCATGCGGTAACAACTGGCACCCCTCTGCTTAAGAGACAAGTTTCCCCTTTTTGTACAACCAGCAGTTTGGCTCTGTGTCACTGTGGTTCTCGAGCACAGTAATAAACGGCTGTGTCTGCAGCTGTCAGGGAGTTCAGCTGGAGAGAAAACTCATTCTTGGAGGTGTCAGGAGAGATGGAGACCCTGCTCTGGAAGGTGGAGGCATAGTGAGTGATCCAGGTAGAGCTGCTGCTGTAGTATCCCCTTCCGATCCATTCCAGCCCTTCGTTGGGCGGCTGGCGGATCCAGTGGTAACCATATGTATCAGTGATGGAGGTACCAGTGACTGTGCAGGTCAATCTTAGGGACTCCCCAGGACTGACTGTTCCTTTTCCAGACTCTGTCAGCTTAATTTCAGAGAGGACACCTGTTAGGGGAAAAAAGAAATCATATAAAAAGAAAAAGAAATTGAGCAAAGTTATGAAATGGTACAGTAGATGGATGGCTGTTGGAGAGATTTTTAAGTTGTATGTACAGTCATTGTCCAAATTGCTGATTCCCCCCCCCCTTTATAAAGCATGAGTTATAGATAAGAAGTTCGGTTTCAGGTGGAACTGCTGAAAGGTTTAACATCTGAAATCCTGCAACAGGTCTCTAAACATCAAACAAAGGAAGCAGATAGAATTTTCTTCCACCTCCTCCATTTTTTATTCGAAGAAATGAAATCTCTGTTAGGAACACATACCCTGCTTAAGCACTGAGAAGATGCAAAGAATTAGAATGAAAGTCTCCATTATGTTTTCCATGATGGCTCCTACTGTTCATGAGAGGTCTATTTAAGCAGGGACAGCATAATAGCCTGATTTGCATATTATGTTCCTGCTTCATATTCAGCTATAAGGAGGACGCCTATCATTCCCTCCTCATCTTCCTTTGTCTTCTGTTTTCCTTTCACCAGGGCTGTTTTCCCAGCAATTCTATCAGAAGAAATACATTCAGGTTCACCCAGAGCCAACCTTCACCTCCTTCCATCTCTTCCATCTTGATTGCAAAGTCCAGATCTTGCCCTCTGCCATCAGCTGCTACAGGCCAGAAGAGAGGTTCCTCCATACAGCCATGTATTCCTAATGTGGTGCACCTTTGCGTTGGTTTGAACCCAATACTGAATTTTTTCATCCATGTTGGGAACTGCTTGTGACTGAAGAGTAGGGTTATAAATAGCACTGACGGAATGAATACATCATCCCCAGGCTTTTCTTGAAAGCTAAGGAAGCCCTCATTGAGTTTGTGTTGGCATTGTGGGCACCTGATGTGCCGAGACTAGGGATGAGCATGAACCACAAAAACGTGATTTGTTTCAGTTCAGTGGCTGAGCCACAGACTGAACCACAAACTGAACCGGGAGATTCACAGGCTAACCAAACAGTTCGTGGTTCGTGGCCCCCAGCAAACCCCATTGAACGGGACTGTTGTCCCTTTCAGTGGGTTTTGCAGAAAGCCTCAAAAAGAGCTGATCTCCCCACCACTGAGCGCTTTGGAGCTATCTTGTGTAGTCCCTTTAAAGTTTAATTGCTAATTTATTTATTTATTTATTTATTTTATTTATACCCCGCCCTCCCCGCATGCAGATACAGGGCGGCTTGCAACTACAAAATATAATACAATACCACAATTTAAAATCAGTTAAGGCACAGTTATAATGGATATAAAAGGAAAAAAGTAAGAATTCAAGCCAGAGACAACTGGCCATATCATATTAGGGAAGATGTCTTGGCCCCTTCTCTGTTGGTTCATATTTTTAAATAACCTCTGGATCGCCTGCAAAAGCTGAACTCTCCATGAGACTTTGCTACTCTGGTTAGTATGTGTGAGGGATCCATGCTTAGAATCACACTAGGTTCATTCACTTGCTTCTTAATGAGCTTACAACTGGGCAAAAAGATCTTTCATCCACTTCCTTCTGCCCAGTGCAAACCACCAGAAAGGATTTGGCTTCCTCCTCCAACTCTCCATTTCTGCTTTTTTTTTTGGCAAGTTACAGATTCTGTAATGGTTTGAGTGCGTGGCTGAGCTCCATAAGTGGATGAATTGCACAGTCAGTCTCTCAGGTAGGCAAGAAATGGTGTGGACAGTTGGCCGGACATTCTTTCCCTGCCCAACCCATGTACAAAGTTTCTGGATTGAGTTGGATCCACCCTTGAGGGCTTCCCTTCCCGTAGCAGCTCAATCCCAACTCAGCTGCTTCTCCAGGGTGCTCCCCCAATGGAAGCTGGATAGGTTCTAGGAAGCCACCTCCTAGGCAATCAATCAATCAATCAATTTAGCTCACATGACCAATGGTCTCAGGCACAGAATACAACAAACATGTAAACTCCTAGGCAATCAGGAAGCCACTGCCTAAGCAGTCAGGAAGGCACTGTGTAGGCAGTCAGGAAGCCACCGCCTAGGAAGTCAGGAAGCCACCAGCTAGACAATCAGGCTACAATTGCCTCCATTCCTCTGGCTCCTTTCCTCTTACTCCCTTCCCCCAGTTCCATCTCTGTATGAATAAGTTCCCTTTGCTGTTTTCTAGGTTGGTGTGAGATGAAGTGGGTAAAGAATGTAACAAGGAGGGAGGATGCTTTCAGACTTTGCTGGCCAGGTTGTGCTGTGATCTGTGTCCCTGTACTCTACAACAAACCAAACCTGCTCTACAAAGGTTTCCTCTGCTGTGAGAAAGAGGGCTAGAGCCAGGAATTAGCCTCTTTATCATACAAGGAATGGCATTTCCACACATGTCTTGCCGTGGTTTCTGAACTAAAATCAGCTAAATCACTGGTTAGATGGTCTAAAGAGAAGAGGGAAGATATTGCATCAGTATGAGACCAAGCATGATTCTTGAACAGAACGGTCTGGCTCTGTGAAACTGCTTCCCCCTGCTGGTTACTGTAAGAAATTATCAACCTGAATTTCAGTGTCTACAAGGGAAATGTTAGTCTGATTCTGCATTGGCATTTCCCTCCATTGTTTTATGAAACCTACCTTGGAACAGAAATTCCCTTCGCAGGGCTCTTTTTGTAGAAAAAGCCCAGCAGGAAGTCATTAGCATAATAGGCCACACCCAACAACAGAAACTCATTAACATATTAGGTCGCACCCCTGACAGCACAGCTCATTAGCACATTAGGCCGCACCCCCATGTTACCAGAAGTGTGGTTATCCAGCCACACCCACCTTTTGCTTCTTATTCTTTTTACCTTGTTTGTTGTCAAAACCCAGGGCTTTTTTTGGAGCAGGAACTTCTTTGCATGTTAGGCCACACACCCCTAATGCAGCCAATCCTAATGAGTCTCTGCTGTTGGGTGTGGCCTATTATGCTAATGAGTTCCTGCTGGGCGTGGCCAACTTGGGAGCCAGCCAGAACTCCATTCCTGATCATTCCTGCCCCAAAATAGCCCTGCCCTTCTGCATTGCATCTTGCTTTCATTTTCTTTTATCATTGGATTTTATGGTACCCTCCACACTACTTGCCACTTTTACTTCTTTTGATCATCAGGTTTTATGGTACCTTCTGCACAGATTTATGGCTGTTCAGGGGTGACTTTGCAGTCATTATGGTGTTGCCCCAGGGTATTTGAATGCGGTTGTGAGCGGGACTTTTTCCTCCCTGTTGAGAAAATGTCAAGTGAATGCCATATGTCAAATCACCATTAGGATCCTTTCTATCCCATCAATGGTTGACATCCTTATGCTGAGCATTTTCCATCAGTTGTACTTAGTGCACAAAAATGACATCACTTCTTCACACTCAGCAGATGATTACCATTTGGAATTTTGTGACCTCAAATTTGGCGAGTAGTTATTGACTAAGATGGCTCATAATGGGTAAACTGAAGACAAATTCATGCAGATGCATGTGAACAAATTTTAAACATCACAGGCCACCAGAGAAAGACCAGATGTGTTGTTACTATTATGCTTGCACAACAGTGTGTTACCAAGATACTTCCTCAAACTAAATTAGGAAGAATTCCACACCAGACTAAGGTATTCTGCTCACTTCATCCAAACAACAAGTGTATAAAGTAGATTAGGCTTAGTCTGGTGTGATTGACCCATAGGTAACAAGACCAAGCCTCCCAGCTTCTCAGGGAATCAAACCAGAAAAGTCAGTCCTGCAGAGCAGGACTCCAATCTGAGTTTCCGAGACAAAACAGGTGGTCAAGAGTCAAGACTTTTGGATTTAGGCTTTGAGGTTAATTGAAGGCAAAAACCACAACAGAGTAAAAATATTTATTAAGGCGCAAAAATATTTGACCCATCTAGAGACCAGAGAGGTTATGTAACACTCTCTCTCTGTTGCTAGGCACATGATACAGTTGATAGCTTGGTACCATCTACAGCTGAAAACAATTTAGCAAAGTCACAGTGCTCTCTCTGCTATCTCTGACTCTTGAGAAAGTTTCTCTAGGCCTTTATGCAGCCAAGTGCCGCATGACTGATTGAGCTCCCATCTCTGGTTCCCACTCCTGCCAATCTAGCAGTTCAAAAGAAAGAAATTGCAAGTAGATAAATAGGTAGCTCTTCAGTGGGAAGGTAACAGGGTTCCATGCACCTTGGCATTTTGTCCTGCCGGGCACATGACCATGGAAACATCTTCGGACAGCTCTGGCTCTTCGGCTTGGAAATGGAGATGAGCACCACAACCCTAGAGTCGGAATCGACTGGCTTTCGAGCAAGGGAAACCTTTACCTAGAACAGGAAAACCATTTTTCTTTACACATTTACTGGGATTATTAATAAAATTGCAATAAGTGCAGCCTATTTGGCATGATACAGAGCCCAGATGTAAAGAAGACAAATGGTGTCAATCAGTCAAGAATGGCAGTGCCCCAAGTATAAACCTAATACTCTAAATGTTTCAAATAAATTAGGAAGCAGAACTAAGTCTCTCTTTCATAGATGTCCCCTTGTCCTGCACTTCAAAATGTTTTTGGATTCTGGTGGTGGAAAGTGTTGTCAGGTCACGGCTGATTTATGGCAGTCCTGTAGGTTTTTCAAGGCAAGAGACATTCAGAGGTGGTTTGCCATTGCCTGCCTCGGCGTTGTGACCCTGGTACTCCTTGGAGGTCTCCCGTTCAAAAGCTAGCCAGGGCCGTCCCTGTTTAACTTCTGGGATCTGATGCGATTGGGCTAGCTTGGGCTACCCAGGTCAGGGCGTTTTGGATTCTAGCCTGAACAAAAACAGAACTGTCTGGCCGAGATGCAAGCGTCCCCTTTTTGTACAGATGCCAGCTTGTCTCTGTGTCACTGTGGTCGTCGCGCACAATAATACATGGCTGTGTCTGCAGCTGTGAGGGAGCTTAAGTGGAGAGAATAATAGTTCCTGGGGGAGTCGAGAGAGATGGAGACCCTGCTCCGGAAGGCTGAAGTATAATCAATGTGCCAGCTAGAGCCCATGTAGAACCTTCTCCCTATCCATTCCAGCCCTTGGTTGGGTGGCTGCCGGAACCAGTTGTAAATATATCCATCCATGATGGAGGTACCAGAGACTGTGCAGATGAGTCCAATGGGCTCCCCAGGTTTGACTATTCCTATGCCGGGCTGAGTCAATTGAATTTCAGAGAGGGCACCTAGTAGAAAAAAGAAATGTTAGAATTGAGTACAGTTCTAAAATGCTAAATTATACACATGGCTGTTGAAGAGATCTTCCAGTTGCTTGTTCAACAATTGGCAAAATCTGACTTCTTGCTTTGGAATCCCCCCAAAAGATATCAATTATAGGTAAGAACTTTAATTTAAGCCAAAGCTATTTAGTGGTTTAACATCTGGAATTCTTCAACAGATAAAGGAGGCTGATAGTATTTCCTCCCACCCGCTCCATCTTTCTTAGAAGAAAGAAAATCACCATTAGGAACAAATACCCTGATTAAGCATTGAAAAGACACAAAGAAATAGGAGTAAAGTCTCCATTGTGATTTCCAAGATGGCCCCAAGCATTCGTGAGGCTTCTATTTAAGCAGGGCCATGATAAAAGCCTGCTTTGCATATTCTGCTCTTGC